TCCTCGATATGTTCAGAAAAGCCATCTGAATCGGAGGATACATTGGATGGTTCTGGAGATGATTCGAGTAATTCAGGTTGAGACGGTGCCGGTGTGTTAATCGGGGGCACAACCGGGTCTGGTGGATGCGTCGGTATCGACTGCTTCGATACCGATGGTCGATCTTGAAAGCGCGAAATGCGGGATGACACCGACTGACGATCCCATTCAGGTGGGGGTGGTATCGGGAGTGCCCAAGGGTATGGGTATCGATTCCCGTACAAATAATGCCATTGCCTCTCATCCCAAGTTAGGGGAGGAGATGTTGGTCGGTGCCGATCCTCGACTCCACGTTCTGGGGAGGCATGAGAGGATTGACGGCTCGACATATCAGATTGCGACTGATTTGTTTGTTGAGTAAGGTCGATGTCGAGATCCGAACCGATCGGGTGAGGTTCTTGCGTGGGATCTCGACCCTGACTAGCCGAAACCTTATGGACTTTGGGTTTGTCCGTTTTAGGTTTCTTCGACTGCTGTGAGTCTTTGCCCTGCTTCCGGATCTTGGAAGGTACGGCAATGGATGACCCCTGCTTCCGGATCTTGGAAGGTACGGGGTGGTCCTTTATCGGCGTCGATCGTTTCGGTGCCGAAGCATCGATTGCGACCGTCGACGTCGATGGTCCCGAAACGGGAGGACAAGTGTCCGCAGCCAAGGTGGACATCGAGGCGTGCCCGGACGTGTCCAACGGTGAAGAGGACTGTGGAGATAGTGCCTTCTCCATCAGGGCCAAGTGTAGACGAGCTGCCCTGTTTTTTCTCGTCTGGTTCGAAAACTTTTGGCAATGTCTGCACTTAGAGACACAGTGCGACTCCCCTAAGCAAACGAGGCAAAGCGAGTGCCCGTCGGTGGGGGATATTTTAAGGCCGCAAGTCCTACACCGTTTGAAACAACCCCACCGCGGGGCCATAGGCCAGCGGGAGGTGAACGTAAATAAAGAACAAACACCGAAAGAAAAATGCTAACTACAAAAATAAAGAAAGAGAAACTAACTAAACGCAAGTTTAGCAAAAAAAGTTTGGTACTTAGCAGACCGAGGCAGAAGGCGTCCTACCAGCGCGGCGGTCAGAAGAGAACTGGCGGGATCTGCGTGCCCCTCCTTGGTCATGCGCAGTGGAGCCGGCGCGTGACCTGGGAGAGGCGCGAAAATCCCTTTTGCTAGCTACCGGTACCGAGAAGGTTCAGCGCAGGCGCAGTATTCCCAAGGGTGTGATGCACAGAGACCACGAAGAAGATACAAGTGTAATTACTGACACCACTGAGAGGTGCGCTGAGTAAAAAGATGCTTGTATGATGTTAACTGCTTGGTACCAATCAGAGACTCTTTAATGTGTAAACTATATGTGATGTCATTTGGGGTATAAGACCTTCTGCCCTTCCTGGTTATGGCAGACTACAGTTTTGGAATGGCTGCGGTGCTAAGGTACCCAGCCCTGTATTTCCTGTTTTAAATGCATTAAACAGATATTCATCTAACTCGTTGGACTCCGACTGTGTGTTTCCAGGTTGGCAACAGGAGCACACAGGCACTGTGGTTAAGACGCTGAACTGCAGGCTGGAAGGTCGGTAGTTCAGCAGTTCGAGACCCGAGTGTGCCGCATGACGGAGTGAGCTCCCGTCTCTGGTTCCAGCTCCTGCCAACCTAGCAGTTCGAAAGCAAGAATTTGCAAGTAGATAAATAGGTACCGCTTCGGTGGGAAGGTAACTGCGTTCCGTGCGCCTCGGCGTCTAGTCATGCCGGCCACATGACCACAGAAACGTCTTCAGACAGCGCTGGCTCTTTGGCTTGGAAACGGAGATGAGCACCGCAACCCTAGAGTTGGATTTGACTGGCTTTCGAGCAAGGGAACCTTTAGCAACCAGGAGTCCTGCCTGTACTGCGTTTGCAACCTGCCAGAGGCTGCTTTTAAAAGCAAAGCTTCCAGAGAGGCTAAGGAGTTTTTCTTAGAGGCATCACCCAGATTTTCTACTGGACCTCGCAGCTGCTGATAAAATCCATGACTTCAGGTAAGCTGAAAATGTCCTCCTGGTTGCAAGCGAAGCCAACCCGGGGGGGGGGGGGGGACGGGACATATTCAACGAGATGCCTCCCAAACGCAAGAGACTATCCTTGGTTTCCTAAGCAGCTTACGATGAGAAGAATCAGGATTGGCACGACAAAGAGATACCGCGCTTGCGGGGGACGACTCAGTGAAAACGGCAAATCCTGTGTTGGGGATTATTTAAAAAAAGGGATTAAAAATAAAACAGCCAATACCGTAGTGCCTTTGTATAAATCTACATTGCCGCCGCGTTTGGAACAGGGGGTATAGCCCTGGCTATTCCATTTCTAAAAGGGGATCGTAGAGCTGGGGGAATTGTAGGAGCAAGTTGCCAAAAATGATCGAGGGCCTGTAGCGCCTTTTGTCCCTGGAATTATGAAAGGCATCCGGGTCTCTTCTGTTCAGGAAACAAGATAAGGGAGGATATGATAGAGACATGAATGTTTGTATGTCTGTCTCACGCGATACTAGAACTCAGCGATCACCCACGGAAATCGATCAACGGTAGATTCGGGACAGACAAAAGGACATAAGAACATAAGAGAAGCCATGTTGGTTCAGGCCAGTGGCCCACCCAGTCCAACACTCTGTGTCACACCTAGTGGCCAAAAATATCAGGTGCCATCAGGAGGTCCACCAGCAGGGCCAGAACTCTAGAAGCCCTCCCACTGTTGCCCCCCAAGAGCCAAGAATACAGAGCATCACTGCCCCAGACATAAGAACATAAGAGGAGCCATGCTGGATCAGGCCAATGGCCCACCCAGTCCAACACTCTGTGTCACACAGTGGCCAAAACCCCGGTGCCATCAGGAGGTCCACCAGCAGGGCCAGAACTCCAGAAGCCCTCCCACTGTTGCCCCTCCCCAAGCACCAAGAATACACAGCATCACTGCCCGAGACATAAGAGAAGCCATGTTGGATCAGGCCAATGGCCCATTCAGTCCAACACTCTGTAGCCAAAAACCCAGGTGCTATCAGGAAGTCCACCAGCAGGGCCAGGACTCCAGAAGCCCTCCCACTGTTGCCCCACAAGCACCAAGAATACAGAGCACCACTGCCCTAGACAGAGTGTTCCATTCTAGACCATGCGGCTAACAGCCATGGATGGACCTCTGCTCCATATGTTCATTCACTCCCCTCTTAAAGCTGTCTATGTTTGTAGTCACCACCACTTCCTATGGCAGTGAACTCTTTGGGGTAGTTCTTCGTCAAGAACACAAATATGGAATGAGATCTGCTGCCGGAACGCAGAAGTGTCCACTGGCTCAGATGGGTTTGAGGATTACACAGATGTATGGAGGACAGGCCTGTCTCTCTGCCTAGTATCCCTGATGGCCGAAGGAATCCCTATGCGCAGAGGGGCAGCATGTCTCTCAATATCAACGGCTGGTGGACCAGCCAGGAAGGGCTGGTCCCCAGTCGAGCCCTTCATGCTCTGCTGGGACATGATCTCAGGCAAAGCCAGTTTGGTGTAGTGGTTAGGAGCCCAGACTCTAATCTGGGAGAACCGGGTTTGATTCCCCACTCCTACACTTGCACCTGGATGGATGACCTTGGGCAAGCCATAGTTCTGTCAGAGCTGTTCTTGAAAAAGAGCAGTTTCTGTCAAGAGCTCTCTCAGTCCCACCTACCTCACAGGGTGTCTGTGGTGGGGAGGGGGAGGGGAAGGAGTTTGTGAGCCGCGCTGAGACTCCTTTGGGTAGTGAAGGGCGGGGGATAAATCCAATCTCTTCTTCTTCTTCTACCTCACAGGGTGTCTGTGGTGGGGAGGGGGAGGGGAAGGAGTTTGTGAGCCGCGCTGAGACTCCTTTGGGTAGTGAAGGGCGGGGGATAAATCCAATCTCTTCTTCTTCTTCTACCTCACAGGGTGTCTGTGGTGGGGAGGGGGAGGGGAAGGAGTTTGTGAGCCGCGCTGAGACTCCTTTGGGTAGTGAAGGGCGGGGGATAAATCCAATCTCTTCTTCTTCTTCTACCTCACAGGGTGTCTGTGGTGGGGAGGGGGAGGGGAAGGAGTTTGTGAGCCGCGCTGAGACTCCTTTGGGTAGTGAAGGGCGGGGGATAAATCCAATCTCTTCTTCTTCTTCTACCTCACAGGGTGTCTGTGGTGGGGAGGGGGAGGGGAAGGAGTTTGTGAGCCGCGCTGAGACTCCTTTGGGTAGTGAAGGGCGGGGGATAAATCCAATCTCTTCTTCTTCTTCTACCTCACAGGGTGTCTGTGGTGGGGAGGGGGAGGGGAAGGAGTTTGTGAGCCGCGCTGAGACTCCTTTGGGTAGTGAAGGGCGGGGGATAAATCCAATCTCTTCTTCTTCTTCTACCTCACAGGGTGTCTGTGGTGGGGAGGGGGAGGGGAAGGAGTTTGTGAGCCGCGCTGAGACTCCTTTGGGTAGTGAAGGGCGGGGGATAAATCCAATCTCCTCCTCCTCCTCCTCCTCCTCTCTGGCTGTCATTTTGGGAAAGCATTCCCAGAAGATAGAAAAGTTGGAAAGTTGTGGGTGGCCCTAAGATGATACAGAAATGGTCTTTTTATTTAAAAAAATTTTTTGGGTGACTGTGTGTGTGTATGCCTGGAAGTCACGGCTGACTTCTGGCGACCCCAGTGGGGCTTGGATGTTCAGAGAGGTGGCTTGCTATTGCCTCCCCTTGCGTCCCGGCCCTCGTATTCCTTGGAGGTCTCCCTTCAAAGTACTTCCCAGGGTCGGCCCTGCCTAGCTTCTGAGATCTGATGAGATGAAGCTCACCTAGGCTATCCAGGTCGGGGCACAGAAACGGGCTTTTTCAAAAAAAAAACCTTTTGCAATATTGTACTGCGTTCCATCGCTGCTTGAACAGGTGTTTCCAGGTTTTATTAAAGAAAAAGCATTCCCGGACTCCAGAGGTTCCCAGGGGCTATGTCCTCATCTGCGGCATTCGAATTGGGGGTGCTAGAAGCCCGTGCCAGCCCGGATGTCTGTTAACGTGCACCGAGTCTGTACGGTGCAGACAGAGTAGGACCAATAACGCTCTAAAAAGACGAAGGGACATCAGCCGGAGGGGCGTGCTGTCTTGCTGTACAGCCCCTATCTCTAAATTCTCATCGAAGAAAGAGAGAGACAGAGACAGATCTCCCCCAAAACACTCCGTTTCAGAACTATATCAAAATAGACCCATGAATACAGAACGTGCGGGTAATACAAAGGATATCCGTTTCCAGAGCGCTTTGAAGTTCTGCTTAACGGCGGCCGATTTTCTGAACTAAAGAGATTACTGCAAAGTCTCGGAGGGCCCAGAAACGCAGCTTTCCAATCGCTCTGGTCTGGTTTATATTAATCACACCACTTGTCAGAACAGCCAGGCCCACATTTTATGGACATTAATTCCTCTAAGTTCTCATTCTTTCTCTCTCTCACACACACACATACACTCCCCCCTCCCCGATTAACAGTAATCGCTGGCTGGAAAATCCAAGTATATGGAATCTGCTACAGTTCGGGAGCAGTTAAGGCAGAGGAGAAATCGACTGTCAACATTATACTCTGTTGTTGTGAAGCTGCAGCCGACACGGCGACCCTGTAGGGTTTTGCCACTACCTGCCTCTGCATTGCGACCCTGGGCTTCCTTGGTGGTCCTCCCATCCAAGTACCGACCAGGGCTGACCCTGCTTAGCTTCTGAGAACTGATGAGATTGGGCTAGTCTGGGCCATCCAAGTAAGGGAGCAGAAAATACCATCAAATTGGCAGCTGAATTACGACAACGCGAAGAACATCAGAAGAGCCCTGCTGGATCAGACCAGTTGTCCATCCAGTCCAGCATCCTACCTCACACAGTGGCCAACCAGTTCCTCTGGAGGGCCAACGACAGGGCAGAGAGGCCGAGGCCTTCATAAGAACATCAGAAGGGCCCTGCTGGATCAGACCAGTGGTCCATGTAGTCCAACATCCTGTCTCCCACAGCGGCCAACCAGCTCCTCTAGAGGGCCCACAACAAGGCACAGAGGCCGAGGCCTTCATAAGAACATCAGAAGAGCCCTGCTGGATCAGACCAGTAGTCTATCTAGTCCAGCATTGTGTCTTACACAGTGGCCAACCAGTTCCTCTGGAGGGCCAACAACAGGGCAGAGAGGCTGAGGCCTTCATTAGAACATCAGAAGAGCCCTGCTGGATCAGACCAGTGGTCCATCTAGTCCAGCATCCCGTCTCACACAGGGGGGCCAACCAGTTCCTCTGGAGGGCCAACAACAGGGCAGAGAGGCTGAGGCCTTCATTAGAACATCAGAAGAGCCCTGCTGGATCAGACCAGTGGTCCCTCTAGCCCAGCATCCCATCTCACACAGGGGCCAACCAGTTCTTCTGGAGGGCCAACAACAGGGCAGAGAGGCCGAGGCCTTCCCCTGATGCTGCCTCCTGGCTCTGGGATTCAGGGGATCAGTGCCTCTGACCGTGGAGGTTCCCATCAGTCACTCTGGCTAGTAGCCACTGATAGGCCTTGTCCTCCATGAAACTATCTAATCCCCTATAAAGATGTTTATTCCTGGGGCCATCACGACATCCTCTGGCAGCAGTTTCCGCATCCTCTGTATGTATTTCATTTATTTATTTAATTGGACGTATACCCCGCCCTCCCAGCCATGGCCCGTCTGCTCTAGCGTCCTGTTCCAGATCACGGCCAGCTGGTCATCTCTAGGAAGCTCACAGTTAGGACACGCAAGGTTCTGCTTTCGCTGCCGTTGCCCCTTTCCAGCCACAGATATTGAGAGTCACGCAGGGATGGATTCTGTGGATCCCTTCCACTACAACCGAGGCACTTTCTTCCAGCAGGAGGAGACGACTCTTGATGCAAGAAGCCCTTTCGAATAGGAAGCGCCGACAGACCTTTCCTCTATGAATATGCCTGATCCGTTCTTACAGCCATCGCCATGCTTTGCGGCAGAGCGTTCCTTGTCTGTTTCTCTCCGTCCCCTTTTACAAATTCTCTGAGACGGGTCAGTACGTGATAGACCTTCCAGAAACCGGACCAGTCAGCAAAATAGTCAGGGAGAACATTTTCCAGCAGATTATTCCCAGAGTGTACCTCTGGATATCTCCCAGCCCCCCACACGTGCAGGGACTGCCCCTCCCAAACATTCATTTCAGACACCTACAATTTAATACAAAATTAAAACCACTAGTCCCCTATGGACAGAGCACCTGGAAAAACATCCCTCAGGGAGGCATTCGGCCTCCATTAAGGCCAGGGGCACGGCGAGTAGCCTGTTCCTTCTGTCGTCAGATTCTGGCTGGTTTGTTCCCTTGAATGCTGACTTCCAAACTGAAAGGTTGCCCCAATGGCACACGAACCAATGGGTTCTAGATCAAATCAAGCCTGAACTCTCTCTTGAATGAGAACATATGAGAAGCCAATGTTGGATCAGGCCAATGGCCCATCCAGTCCAACACTCTGGGTCACACAGTGGCCAAAAATACCAGGTACCAACACGAGGTCCAGCAGTTGGGCCAGGACACTAGAAGCCTTCCCACTGTTGACCCCCCCC